AGAGCTCCTGTGACTGTCAAACTACTTGTAGTATAGGTCAAGTCTGTGTAAGCCGAAGTCAGAGCCGAGTACGAGCCTGATCAGTTTTCGCCTGCATACCATACATATGCAGCTTTCTGCTGGTCGTTTTCAGCTCGCAGCTTGGCCGTTTCCACGATCTGCCGTGGTTGAATATGTATCCCTCCCGATCCAGGTGCTGAATTGACGCTGGTGGTCGTAGTACACAGATGCGGCCGAGATGACCCCCGCCTCTCGGTAGGCATATTGTCTCTTTCCTACTCCAATTAAAATTCACTGGCTTGTAGTTGATGTAGGTTCGGATCGAGTGTCCTTGATCGAGAGAAGGAGTTCTGAGATCGAGGGTTAGATGTGCGTTAGCCGCCGTAGTTCATGATGAGACCTTACCCCACAGACTTGCAGCTCACATTGCGGTGATTGGACTCATCTGTAGAGGTGAGGAACTTGGCATCTGAATACATGTTCGTATGATGGTATCTGCAAGCCGCTTTACAATGCATATGCAGCATGATGGTCGAGTTTCCAGCTTCGCTCAGGGTGCCGCATTTGGACCATGCTACTGCAATGGCTTTTGGTGAAGCGAGAGGTACTTGGTCAGTTCATGAGGAAGGTGAACAAAGTTTTAGGCGTGAGCACCCCCACATCCTGGTAAGCCAAGGTCTCTCATCCTCGACTTAGGCGCATGTACAACTATCTTTTCCCCCCTTGACCAGTCACACTGAATGCAAGATGAACGTATCTCAGGCTATATATGCCCGCCAGCGTTAATACTATTCGTGGAGAGTCCCACGTTGGACATTGTTCCAGCAGTTAGCCAGAGTGAGGCGGACTGTCCTGTGCAGTCTAGATGACTTAACGATCAGCTCTTATTCAGTATACCTTACCACCCTCAGCGCTGCTACCTAATCAAGCCAAATCAATTAAATCAATTAATCAGCTAATTAAAATGAGGCTTTTTTTAGAGTTAATTAGCTAAACTCATAATACTTTTAGTTTAACTATCTTAATTAAACTAATATTACTTAAAAGAATAAAAATCTAGCTTCTAAACTAATTAGAATTTTTAAAAAATTTAATAAAAAAATAAAAAAGTTAATTAGATATTTTTTTCTAGTAGCTTAAAGTTATAACTTTTTAAGTTTTTATATTATAGTTAATAACTTAAGCTAGTTTTAAACTAATATCTCTATAATTCCTTATATAATAGACTTATTACTAGCTTATTAAGTTTTATTATAATATATCTCTAAAAAAAAAAAAGGTAAGTAGTTAATAATATTAGTTTAGTAATATTTTTATACTAATAAGTAGTAGAATAAAGCTAAGTATTTCTTAGTAGTATTAGCTTTATTATTAAGAAGTATTAGAAGTATTAGAAATATACTTTTTATTATACTACTTAATTAATATATTTTTAGTTTTCTTATTAAAGGTTAAAAAAAGTTTATTTTTAACCTCTTTATTAGTTTTTAAAAATAACCTTTTTTAATATTATTACTAATACTATTATTATTACTACTACTACTACTACACTTTAAAGCTTTATTTCTATATACCTCTAAATACTTTTTTTAACCTCTCTTTTACTATTATAATACCTCTACTAATATATAACTAATATATTAATTACTTTATTAGCTATAAAGTAACTCCTTAAGGAATTACTACTTAGATTTAAGCTTTTTTAACTATTAATAATATATTAACTACTAACTTTAATAAGTATATTACTCTTAAAGCCTTACTTTATACTATTTAGAAGAAGTAGTACTATATTAATATAGAAGCTATCTTAAGAAAAGGTAGTTAAAACTATACTTCTTAGATTAGGAATAAAGGTATCTTTATCTATAAGATCCTCTTAAGTAATATTAGAGGTATATTTATTACTTACTTACTTTCTATTATACTTTTTTATATACTAATAATATATTTAAGTAATATTTATTAGGTTTACTAACGCTATAATAAAGCTAATACCTTTAGAGAGCTATAAAAAGCTACTATTATATTTAGTACTAAGAAGTACTTTAAATCTACTTATTATATCTATAAAGAACACCTCTATACTAAATATCTATTTAGTAATAATTCTAGAGATAATAGGTACTTCTCTAAGTATTAATACTTTACTTTTATTACTATACTTTATAGTAGAGTCTCTTAGATTAAAAAGCTAACTATTAGCTTTTTTATTAATATTAATAACTCTTTCTTAATATTTAGTAATTAATATATATAGTATTTACTTAGTTTTTTTAATTATAATATTTATAACTAAATATATTAGTTAAGGGATTCTTAGAAAGCTTAACTATATTACTTCTATATCTTTAAGAAGGAATAAATTAGAAGTAAGATATAGAAAGTACTTATAAAGGTTTATATATCGTTTAATCTATAGACCTCTTCTAATTAATATATTATTATTACTATATTTAGTTACTTTATTAACTAATTAGGGAAATAGACTTAATACTTATTAGCTTTTTACTATTAGTTTAATACTTACTTTAATAAGAATATTACTATAACTATTTATACTACTCTTATAAACTAAAGCTTTATTAATTAAGTTAGTATTATTATATCTAATAACGCTATAAATAATAATACTTATTTTAAAGCTCTCTTTCTTTCTCTATTATCTTTATATATAAAAACTAATACTTAGTAACACTAAATTTAATACTATAGCTATATCCTTAACTTTATTAGTTATATTATTATTTATAATATTAATAATAAGGTATTTAAAGAGGAGTCTAATTATCTACTTAATACTAATAGAGTTTAAGATAACTTAACTTATTAGAAATAGAAGGGCTTTATTAATAAGCTTTAGAATATTATTAAGTATATTAGATTATTACTATAATAATCTAAAAGCTTCTTAGCTATTAGTAATAAGGCTACTAATAATAATATTAACTTTACTCTATAAGAAGAGTTATTCTAAAAACTAAATCTAATATTAAGTAATACTACTTAATAGAACTTAATATATAATATAATTAAGTAAGCTTTACTTAAATATAGCTAGATTAATAGTTATATCTTTTATACTCTAAGTCTTCTTAATAATATAGATTATATCCTAAATAAGGATATCCTTATTAATAAAGATTAGTAAGTCCTTATAAAGTTATATAAAGTATTTAAACTACTTTATAAGTAAACTAAGAGATATAAAAGCTAAAGTAAAAGTAATAAATATAGTTAACTTTAGGAGGTTCTAATAGATATAAAGTATCTCTTAGATTATTTTAAAGATTAGTATAAGCTCTTTAATACCTTTATTAACGCTAAGATTAACTATATAGCTACTTAACTTACTAAAAGTTAGTTATAGTAATTATTTTAACTTATAAAAATATCTTAATACTCTTAATAAGGCTTAATAATAGTTTTATAGTCTTTATTAATTAATAATATTTCTACTTACTTATAGCTTAAATACTTATAGTTATAATACTTTTAAAGTATTAACTTTAACTCTTATAGATATTTATACTTATTAATTATTAATAGCTAGTAAATACTTAATAAATACTATATTAAGCTTATAAAGTCTCTTCTTTATACTATTATAGTAATTCTATATCCTAAGTAAGGTTTATAATAGCTTTAGAAGTATTAGAATACTTTAGAAACTTATATATAGATATATAATACCTAAGAAGGACTTTATAAATACTAATAATAATAATATACTAATATATCTAACTAAGCTAATCTATAGCTTTATTTATAACCTCTATAAGCTATATTTATATTAATTACTATTACTCTAAAAGCTAAGAACTCTAAATATTATTAATAGTTAGCTAGTAAGACTTATAATACTACTATTAATAATTTTAATAAATTAGAGTGATATTTCTATCTCTTTATTATTTAGTTTATTAATAACTCTATTTAATAGTAGATTTTATATTAATAAACCTTCTTAATACTTAGTAAACTTACCCTTAATATCTTTACTATTTTAGTAATAATAACTAACTATAAAAAGGTATTTAGTTTTACTAAACTTCTATTAATATTATAAAAGCTATTAATAATACTCTTAACGCTTAAGTAAACTTAATACTTCTAGAACTAAGTTTAAAGTAGTATTATTACTATAAATAGCTACTACTTTAAGTAGAGGGGTTAAAAAGAGTTAGATAGCCTTAGATTATTATATAATATACGTTTTAACTTTCTAAGAATATTATAAGAGGTATTACTAACTTCTTATTTAAGTAATTATATTTAAGACTAATTAAAATAGTTAATTCAAATAAGACTATTATGATCGTTGAGTTAATTAGTCAAATTTAACCCTTAGATTTAGCTTAATTAATTGGTTAGCAGCGCTGACCACCCTTTTCAATATAAAGAAATAGGACACAGGAACCAAGCCACCTGGTGGAGAACGTTGCCTCCACAACTGTTGGGCGTCATACCAGTTTGATGCTCTGTTGACAAGATTTGGCGATGTAACGCAATCTTAAGCTTGCGCTTGAACGATGTTGCCCAAACTGTCCACAATAGCATGTCGTCCATAGATACCTGATCAGAATTTTGCAGGCATCTTCGGAAGCCGTCTCCTCGCGTCCCTGCGAATAAGGTCACGTAGTCTTCCATTTCTGATTGCCGTCAATGCTCGCAAATGGCGTTTTTCAATACTCCCAAAGTATCACCGTCTCACGTCGTCATGCGGTTAAGTGACCGACTGAGTGCTGACTATTAGTGATCAAATTTCCAGAGAAAATTGGTGGACTTTGGTTGTCAGCAAGGGAGGTCTCGAGAAGGAAGGCCAAGGCGCAAGTGCCTGGGAATTATTCCTGGACGTCATGACGGACTATTGCACACGGCAGGGGACCTCAGCACTATCCCCCAATCCAATCATTTTGCAAGACTCTTCCCACAGTCTGTTTGCTTTCTCCTCATCAAAAGCCCATGAAGCATGCCCCAAGTCCGTTTGAGAAGAGAGATCAACCGCCTGACCTTTGTCAACACAATCGGCAAGATACCTCCCTCCTTTCCCTTCCCACTCTGCACCAATCGCAGCCAAAACACTCGTTGCCGCTCCTTGAGCCGCGTTCTTTAAATGCCGAATATCCTCCCAGTCTCCCTCAGGCATCTTCAGCGGGTCACCCTCCATGTGCCTGGAAATCATGGTCAACACGCTGCCTGGATGTACGGAAAGTGCATGAAGCCCCCTATCCCCAAATCGACGCTCAATCTCGTTAGCCAAGTAGATGTTGGCCGTCTTAGACCTGGCGTAGGCTCTCAGCGGATGATATGGTTGATGGTCGTAGTTGAAGTCGTTGAAGTCGATCGGGCCGAGTCGATGGAGAGACGAGGTGACGGAGTCGACGCGAGAGTTAAAGAAAGGGGATGAAGATGCCAGTAGCGCTGGTTGCAGTAGTCGAAAGAGAAGAAAATGCCCCAGGTGATTCGTCGCGAGATGAGTTTCGAACCCGTCAATAGTGCTGCTTTTAGGGCACGCCATGACTCCTGCGTTGAGGATAAGTAAGTTGATCTTATTGTTGGTCTTTGCGAGGAAGGTTTGAGCGGCGTTGCACACAGAGGCGAGGGAGTCAAGAGACATCTCAAGCAGTTGAAGCCATGCTCCACTGTCTGGAGTTGAAGCTCCGGCGATGTCTTCAATCGCCTCCCGACCGCTCACGAGGTCTCTGACACCCAGGTAGACAGTTGCGCCAGCTGCATGTAGAGCTCGCGCTGTTTCAAGCCCGATGCCTCTGTTCGCTCCTGTCACAAGTGCGGTTTTTCCTGATAGCCCGTCGCCAGTAAGTCCTTCATCCTCGATGATTTGCAAGGCGGTTGGTCGCGCGTCTCCGGGGCCCTGAGGATTCTGGTGGGCAGCGATGTATCTGGCCATGGCTTTGGGATTGAGACTCAGCGATGCAGGGTTTGGTCTACAGCTGTATTCATCATTTGGAGCCTCCCGAGTGTGTTTAAAGGGTCACCATCTTCATCCTGGGTTGAGATTCAGACGTTGCTGTCCTTCCTGAATTGGAGATTCCCTCACGTGTTTTTCAGGCAGCAGCGCAGGGATTGGCAGCCTTCCACAAGCTAGTGGCCGCTCCTTCCTTGAAGACTCGCACACATCCCCTAACGAATGGACTCACGGCCGTACTCCTATTAGTTTGAGATTAGGATGATAACATCCCACACCTACTTCTCAGCTACCTCCACATTTCGGCTACCCACTTTTAATACCCTTATATTTATATATATTAACTTTAACTAATATTTATATATATTATAGTACTATAATAATATAACTTTTACTATTACTAAGGTTTTTAAATTTATTAGATTTATTTATACTACTTTTAAGTTTATTTACTTTAATTTAAGTCCTCTAAATAGCTTTAATATTAGTAAACTTTAAATTTAAACTTATTTTAACTTTCTTCTATTTCTTAGCTCTATTAGTATTAACCTCTACTTATAATACTTTAATTTTTTATTAAATTACTACTAATTAATATACCTTTTTATTAAAGCTTTTCTAAACTTTTTAAAAAAGTAAGTATTATATATATTTATTATTATTTAGTTTACTAAATAAGTTAAACTAATCTTAAAGTTTATCCCTCTTTTTAAAAGTTAACTAAAAGATTACTAATATATTTACTACTTATTTTTTATTTTTCTTACTATTAGAGAACTTTTTATAGATCTAACTAATTAGTTTAATAGGAGTTAAAATATTCTTAAGTAGTAAAAAGTTTATAAAAAGTTTAGCTATACTAATAAGCTATAAACTAATCTATTTCTAACTACTAATAATATTCTTATTTATTAAAGTTACTTTATATATCTTACTATAGTATATAATAAAGTTTCTCTTATTTATAACTATACTAATATCCTATTTAGCTAGTAATTTAAGCTCTTTTTTATATATTATTTTAAGAGGTTTAAAAACTAACTAATTAAGTAACTAAAAGATATATAATATATATATTAATAAGAATAATAAGTATATCTTATTTTTAAAGTATATATATATAAAAGTAGTAATTTTATAGCTTTTATAACTATTTAAGATTAATAATCTAACCTCTAAAAAGTTTTCTAATTAAGTTAAAAAGATAAAAACCTCTATTAACTATTTAATAGCTATAAAATCTAAAGTCTATTTATTTTCTATAGCTATAAACTTCTAAGATTTATATAGTATTAGATCTAAAAAGAACTATTACTATTAAATATTTTTACTCTTATATATAATAAATAGAAGTAGTATTTTACTAATTATAGAAATATATTTAATTAAAGATATCTAAATATATAATCTAAGCTATTTCTTATAAATAGAATAAGTTTCTAATAATCTAAAAATAAGCTTATTTAATCTTCTACTTTTTAGAATATTAGTTATCTATATTATATTAATTAGAAGTTTTAATAGCTATAATCTTAAGTATAGTAAAATATTTAAATTATTACTTAATTATATTAGTTAAAGTTCTATTAATATATTAAGAATTAATTACTCTACTTCTTTAGACTTTTATAAATAGGTTTCTCTTAATAAAAAACTATACTTAGTTCTTTTTAAAAAATTAAAAATTTTTATAAACTTATAAGATATATTTAGTAAAGTTCTTAAATTATTAATAAGTTAGAAGTAAGTTTAAAGTAGTTTAAATCTAAACTTATTTAGCTAAGTAGCTTTCTTAAATTAGAAAAAGCTTTTATAAATTAGAAAAAGTAATATCTCTTACCTAAGTACTATAGATTTAAAATTAAAGTATTATTTTAAAAATACTATATTATAATAAAGCTTTTTATAAGTTAATACTAGCTATAATAGCTTTAAATACTTAAAAAACTTTATTTTTTATATATTAATATATTTAGTAGTTATTATACTTTATAGAAAGAATAATAATAATTAAGTAAAAATTAGTAAAGTTATTTAAATTTAAAAATAGTAATAAGTATTTTTAATAAGGTATTTTAAGGTAGCTGAAATGTGGGGGTGGCTGAGAAGTGGGTGTGGGACGTTACCGTGTTGAATAATTTCACAGTGACCTGTGGATGGCCAGTTCGGATTGAAGCAAAAAGCCTAGCACGCAAACAAACCTTCACCAAACAGGAATCCATGAATGCAGACTTCATAGTAGAGGCGATCAAACCTGTGCGGACGCGGGCGCCATTCCCCCAACTCCGCACGGAGCTTCTCCAACAATTTGCCTTCAGTCGGGGCTCGGAGGCGGAGCGGAGTGGGGTCGCGATGAATGCGGCGAGAGCGGCCGCACCCGAGCTCGTCGTACTCGGGCCGCCGTCATGCTTTCAAAACCTTCTCATTGAAGAAACGTGCTATCAATCCACTCACAATCCCTTTATCATTACTACTTAAATCCTCATGCCCACGGAAAGATCTTGGCCCAGTGAATATGGAAAATCAGATTCACATACAATAGTTGACTGTCCAAATCGCATCATTCCTCCACTTCAAGCCACGATGAGCGTCCGTTGCAGTACTCTCAGCCCTCATAAACCCACTCTCACAGAAGAGAACCTACCAGATCAAGCTGGAAAGGTGAGATACCTGTCCGATGCATCTTAAGTTCCCCGATGACTCACACACTACCATCCTCAAGGTCTTTCTCATTACCGGTGCCTCTGGTGGTATAGGCACGGAGCTAGTCAAGATTCTCTACTCGAAGAATGCCAAGATCTGGCTCGCTGCTCGCAGCTATTCTAAAACACAGGCTGTCATCAATGAGATTAGAGTTGCTCACCCAACTTCAACTGGGGAGATGGTCTTCTTGAAACTCCAGCTAGACGACTTACCCACGATCAAGGAATCAGCGCAGCAGTTTCTTTCCCGAGAGAACCGGCTAGATGTGCTTTGGAACAACGCCGGTGTGATGGTCCCACCTCAGGGGTCTACGACTGTACAGGGACATGAAATGCAGCTGGGCATCAACAATCTTGGTCATCAGCTCTTCACGCAGCTATTGACTCCCCTCTTGGAGAGGACGTCGCAGATAGCACCACACGACTCGGTTAGAGTCATATGGGTGTCATCAAGTGCAGCTGATGGTGCGCCGCGCCCGGCCATCGACTTTTCCAACATGGACTACCATAAAGAGGAGGGAATTTGGTCCAAGTACTCCAGAAGCAAGGCTGGGAACGTGATCCAGGCGGCGGAGTATGCGCGTAGGATGAAGGGAAGCGGCGTTCTCAGCTTGGTAAATACCTCAACTGGCACCTGCGAGCACACCACTGACGATCCACTGTTCGTACCTAGTCATTAAACCCCGGCAACTTTGTTACCAACCTCCAGCAAAATATGCCAAAAATGCAATTGGCGATGTTTGTAAGTCGGGAGTAGTCAGACAGGCAACCAGATGCGGGCTTAACATGACATAGAAACTCATATCGCATCCGCCAAAGAATGGTGCATACACTGAGCTGTTTGCTGGGTTGGATCAGTCCATCACTTCGGAGGACAATGGTAGCTGGGGTACGTTAACTCGGTGATCCCCAACTGAATTATTGCTAACTACCAGAAAAACATAGTTTCCCCATTTGGAAAGAAGGAAGAGCCCCGGAGAGACCTCATCGACCCCGAGTTGGGTGCGAAGTACTGGGAATGGTGCGAAGCCCAGGTCAAGCCCTTTTCTTGAGCTGTTCCGGTACCGCTATTCAAACCCTGAGGTCCGCGGAGAATGGTCGTAGCAGCCCCTACCTCGCTGGCCAATACGGGATGAAGCCTTGTCAATTTTATTATGCAAACTATGTACAATAATGATCGATTTGAATTTGATGTATTTCTTTCCAGTCCCCAATTGGCAATGGGCATTTTTAGATATGAGAGAAGGTGCAAATAAGAGATTGACTTAGTCCTGACCAACTTTGCTGTTCTGGTTGACGACCCCATCTGAGAAGGCAGGCGATCCGCTAACGGCAGGGTAGGGAGGCGCTAATGGCAATTGTATTTCGGTTATCTTTTGGAGACTAGTTCAAAAAATAGCGGGTGAAGTCTTCGGGGTTGCAGACGGTTGCTTTTGTCTCGCTGTTAGACTTCCTGCGTTCTCCATCGCAATGAAATCATGTCCGTAACCCACTGTTTGCCGATTGATCCAGGCCAAGAATGACACTTATTTTCATGTATTTCATGTTTCAAATCGCTTGACAACGTCTGAGAAATAGGAGCTTTGGCCAGGAAATCATCGTTGGGAATGCTGCTTACCTTATCAGCGACCCATGCCCGCTACCGCTGTTCACCACCGAATTATTGACTTGGCGACACGTGATGAGACACTTCCAGATTCATCCTCATCTCAGGGGCCGCAATTCTAGAATACGAATGTCCGGTCCCAACAAAAACTCACGAAGATCATAGCAGAAACATCTCATCTTTGCAGGCCGACATCTTGAACATCTTTCCATCACACAGACTCGCACCTCGGCAGCGAAAGGAAGCCCCCACAGCAATCACGAAGGAGCGCCAGCGAGAGTCATGGCGGCCCCAATCGCGGCCGTGAGGCGCAAACCCCTGCCGGGCCAGCAGTTTCCGGGCCCGCCGCCGATGCCGCCACCTCCCGACTTCGACCCCTTTCCGCAGCGTCGACCCGTCCTTCGCGGAGCGCGGTCAACGCCGAACTTGAGAGACTCGGCGGTTCCGTCGATCTATGACCCGCCGCCAGCATATGAGGAGTTTCCGGGTGTCGACGCGAGTGGCAGGCTCAACATCATTACCCCTAGCCCAGGGAGGCTTCCATCACCAGCGCCACCGAGTCCGGGACCGTTATTTCCCGGACCGCCTTCATGCGCAGAGTCTTTCAACGAGCCGCGGTATCGACCTTACCGACCTCCAGCATCTCCGGTCTCTCCCGTGTCTCCCATGTCAATGGGCCCGCCTCCGCCTGCAAAGTCAGAAGCATCCTCATCCGCATCTCATTACCAATCGCCACAACCAACCGGCTTTCATCCTCCGGTTAAATCGGGAACATTTGCAGTCCCTTCCAACTACATCCCTCCACCACCGCCACCTTTCCCTCCCCCATCGAATGCAGCAACGTTTCCCGTGGCCGCACACGAGCGCCCTCCACCTTCCCCAGTCTTCCCAGGTCCACCCTCGGCGGAGACATTCCCCTTGACAGGGCCTCGACCACCAGTCTCGCCAGGCTATGCCCACTCCGAAGCACCTTCCGCAGATTCACAGACACAGGAAAAGACGTTCTGGCAAACAGCGCTTGATGAGACAAAGTACTTTGCTGGCGGACTAATCAGCCACCCATTCGAGTACACCAAGCACTACGCGATTCTCCGCCATTCAACTGTCTTGGTCTGGTATCGCGGCCCCTCAACCTCAGTCACTGTCACCATCTTCTCAGATGCGCCACTACCTCCTACGCGCACAGTATGGCTACAGCGGAAGGGCTTCTCAGGGAACATGGGCATGAACCTCAAGTCCCTGGTCGGAGCAAACGACTCCTGGCTCGACGTCACGCCTTCATCACAAGCCTCACCTACTGATATGGCAGAAGGCGATGAGAGGGGTTGCCAGCGCGACATCAAGAAATTTCTCAAGAAGGCCCCGAAGAACCTTAGCAAGCACATGCCGCGAGAGACGCACGTCATCCGTATTCCTGCAGCGGCCGATGATGGATACTTCCGCCTTGTTCTCTGCACTGGTGGTGGCGATAATGGGAGCAGTAAGAGGAAGGTCCTCTGTCCCAGCCCAGTTTTCCGCATTGCCAGCACATCAACGGACGCAAGTGTTGTACGCGGAGCAAGTTTTGCTAGCATGCCGCTCGAACTCGGTATCAAAGCCGGCTCGATCGTTGCGAACACCGTTGTAAATCGGTACGTGGGACCAGCAGCTGCTGTGGTGCAATCGCGTACGAAGAAGCTTCAAACCGCCAAGTTCGTCACGAAACACGCCACGCACATCGCGTACGGAAAGTCTGCCATTGAGAAATCGGGTATCAAGACGACTGTCACAGAGTACGAGTCACAGTATGCCACGACCAGAGGTGGCGGATACGCCCCTTGGCAAGACGGCGAATCAGGGTTCGATGAGGCACCTCCAGAGGTGATTGGCCCTGACTCTGGACCTATGGACCCGTTTCCTATCAAGTTCGATGGGAGAATCGTGCGCGGCACTGGAAGAGGCGGCATGGAGCTTGGTATCCCGACGGCAAATCTCAGTGGCATACCCGAAGACGTCAAGATGCGCATGCGAGGAGTCTACTTCGGTTGGGCCCGTGTTGTCCCAAGGAGCGGACTAGAGCACATTTCCACCGACTGGCACGAGAGTATCATCACGGTCGGGCCAGCCCCCTACGCTACTCCTCGTGTGGCGGCTGAAAATGTTGCGACAGTGCACATCATTCACGAGTTTGGTGGTGCTCTGTTCCTGGAGACCAAGCTGAAGGTCTTGGTTATGGGGCAACTGCGGATGGCTACGCCCCCAGTTGGCTCAGACGCAGCCCTGCAGGCGTACGGGACGGATGTCTTACTTTCCGTTGCAAGCTTAAGTCGTGAGAACTGGGGTCCTATAGAGACCAGAGAAAGGATGAGGACAATGAGAAGCGAGATGAGGCTAGCTGATCGTTATGTCGAGACCAGAGAGAAGGTCCAAAAGCAGGTCGATCGAATACCACTTCATCTAGCAGGTGTCAGGACCGAGGGTGCCGCGTTGAGAGATAAGGCCTTCGGCAACGGAGGCGTATGGATTCCGAGGTAGAACGCTTCCTTGCAGGCATTCGCCGTTGCCAGTGCACAAACGAAGAACCAAGTCTCAGATCATAAGGCCTCCAGCACAACTTGTGTTCACACCAAAGAGATATTGTAACTAACTCACAACCTCTTCACGTCGCTATCCAGTTATTGCCAGGGCTTTGTGACCCACTAATGGTTGATTCTGGCTCAACTTTCAATAGCAATTGTATCAGGTAATTTCTGTCCATTGAGGAAGTGGGAGTTATGGGAGGCCTTTCAAGGCTCTGGATCTTTACGGCTGGTACAGTCTGTAGGCAACCGAGCCATTCCTTCCATTTCAGGCTTTTCAGACCACGATTTCAACGGCCTGCCCAGTGAGACTGTCTTATTGAACTATCAAACAATATACATCTTCAAGGCTCGTCACACTCACAAGTGCGAAATAGCGAAATAGAAATCAAGCGGTTGTTTCCTTCCCAAAGAACCATACCCATTGCCTCTATAAGAAGGGCAACAATATCTGTCTTCTGATTTCCATCCAGTGTATGCCGTAAAAGCCCCTTGTCGTCAATCAGCTTCTTGACTACGGTGGGACAAGGCCGGAGAATTTCACCCCGAGTGCAACTGCGCTTGTGGAGAAATCGATGATTTTTTGGAGCTAGAAGGGGTGGTGGACGCCCAAGCGGTGATGGAGGCTGAAGAACTGATGCAGCTTGAAAAGACAGTGGACCCTGAGGACGAGAGTCCACAATGTGAGGAAGGTCCGGCTTAGTATCAAGACTCTCCGGCTCCCTACTATCCACGTCCGATTGAAACTTGTCACCGCAGAACTTGATCCAGTAGTCGGCCCGACGTACGTTGCAAACCCAGAGATTCCTCTCACCTTCTTGCATTTGACTGAGATAGTTCGACTTGAACCACTCCGCAAATTCTTTCCCGTTTTGGAAGGGACGTTGTCCTCTCTCGTCTGCTTCTTTCTTCGCGATGACCAGAGCTCGATCCAATTCCTTCAGCATTATTTCAGTCGTGATCCCTAGGCCATTGATGGCATCAAGCATTCGCATTATGGTCGGCGTGAAAACCATATCATCTGGTCTTTTGTAAAGAATGCTATGTTCCACCTCGGCCCAGGCGTGCATTATGACCGTTCCGATCTGGATCTCTACTCTTAACGAATCGAGACTTTTGTCTGGGGACTCCTTCCACTCCACCACAATTTGCCAGGACTTGTATCCGGAGTGTTCCCAACCCTCACTGAAGCCATCGAGGCCTGGGGAGCGCCAGGCTCCATTCGAGTGTTGCTGAGGGTCCAGGTTTCTGTCATGGGCAATATTCCGCCCACTCCTGACCGTGCCAAAGACATGCTTTATATCAAAGTGCTTCTGGATTACTTTCACCACTTTATGAAAGTCATCCGGGAGGTATAGCCCAATGCGAACCCCAGCAAGGTCTCCAAGATCCGGATATGCATAGATGTCGTTGCCCCCAGAAACCCAGCCTCTTAGACCATGTTTAGAGTCTGCTGCCATTTCTCTCAGCTGTCCCTCCAACAGATCGTACTCTTTGGAGCTTTGTTCCATGTGGTTTAGTTTTTCTTCCAGCGACATATACATGTTGAAGTGTTTTTCGATGTCGTCCAGCTTTTTCTTCACCGAAGTATAAGTTTTCGTTCTGCCCTCGACCACTCCTTTGACGGCGACAGCGCGCAGCAATTCTTTGCATTTTTTCTTGGTCAGCTTCTGGAGTATCTGATAGCGTTCTTGCGTTTCAGGTTTCTTGAACTCCACGAGGAGCTCGGAAACCTTCTGGTTGTATGAAGTTGATTTCGTTGGTTCCATGGTGTGCGCCAATTAAGAAGGGTCCGGAGACAAAGATAAGTCCTATGATGATGCTTGTGGTAGCCTGCAAAATGCACAAGTTTTTCAATATTGGAGTAAAACCTGGACTGGGGATACGA